TTTTAGTTTTTATCCAGGGTGCAAAGTATGACCAATTACTGTCTAAAGCGTTTTTAATAGTTTTGCTTTCGGTAGCCTGTATCTCACAGACCAGATTCAAGGAAGCTGTTGCCTGTGCCTTTTCTTCTTGAATCGGCCTCACGATTACATAAAAATATTCTTGGTGCTGTTATCCTAAGAATTGACTTCCGGCCACACCTGACAGAAGTTATTAAGTCAGTGAGCAAGGAGTTGTCTCGATTTTCGTGACTGGGGTGGGTGCTTGGGGGGTGAGTGTAAGGATGAGGGGGAGGGCAAGGCCAGGGTGGGGTTTGTTTTCCTCTGGAGGGCGCCCGGGAGTGCAGGTTGGTGCCTGAGGAGGTCCTGCCTGGGCCCTACCCTCCAGGGAGTGTTGATTTGGTTCGTTCTCCAGAAATGCAGACTCTTCTCTAGAGCACAGTTTATTGGTCGAATCCTGTGACTCTGTACACTGTAGCACTGTCCTCCTGTTGGTCATCGATTTGCTTGAGCACGCACCAGGCACGTCTCCATTGTGAGACTTGTTGTTACTGTGTTTGGCATATCGAATTCGTCATGGGGAGCTTGCCAGACTCTGCCATATGGGTGGGACACTTTCGGTAGCTTGCTGGGCTCTCCAAGACGGACGGAGGAATCGAACCTGGGTCGGCCGCATGCAAGGCAAACGCCCTACTCGCTGTGCTATCGCGCCAGCCTGTGACAATGTAGATAGGTACAAATGCATGGGGTGACTCAGGAGCCTTAAAATACTCCCCGCTTTTCCCTAGGGACCCTCTCCGAAAGGGGCCCACCAAGCTGTCCTCTGGGCTGGGCTCAAGCTAGACACCTCCGCCTTTCTCCAACCCGCTCGCCCCTCCCAGTGGCTTGCAGTGCTTCTTTGGGTTGTTGGACCAAGAGGTTGATGTCAGTGTCATCTCCCTGTGCTCTTCCCGGCGAGGGCAGTGCCACCCACCGCCACCGTGAACGCCCCTTCAGTAATCCTGCAGAGATGAGCGTTGTGAACCTCACTGTGCCGGTATTGATGAATTATTAATCCGGTGGCATTATGTCCGCATCGTCGTTAGGTGACTAATGCCGTGTCAGTACCACGCGCCGCGCCACTGTCTCCGGCTGTTGTAAATGTGACAAGTCCCATTTAAGGTTTCAGAACATACAGTCGGGCCCCGAGAGTAGGGAGAGTGGAAGGGTGAGCGACATCTGCATAATGCAATTAAGGCCCATTGGATTAGAATTTGCAGGATGCCATTAGCAATAAGGTCTGAATGTAGATTATTGCTTGGGCAACATTTTCTCTCCCGGCCATCAGCTTCTCTTGTAAATTCTAAATGTGCAAAATAAATATGATATAAAATAGACACAGATAAGGATCTATAAGGCCTCATTCCTTTCCGGTTGCTTCTTGTTCTCCCCGGAAGCCTGAGGGGGGGGGGATTCACCACAGGGGGGCGCTGCGGAGCCACCATGGCTCGTGGGGAAACTGACTACTCTGTCTTCAGACTTTCCGCCTCTGTTTCCTAATCTGTAGAATGGGGCGGGGGTGGGGGGGGAATGATGTATCCCTCAAAATGTTTTTGTTTTTTAATAAGAATAAATGTCAGGGGCTGGAGCGATAACGCAGCAGGTAGGGCGTTTGCCTTGCACGCGGCCCGGCCCGGGTTCGATTCCCAGCATCCCATATGGGTTCCCGAGCACCTCCAGGAGTAATTGCTGAGTGCATGGGCCAGAAGTAACCCCTCTGCATCGCTGGATGTGACCCAAAAAGCAAAACAAAAAAAAAAGTTAAATAAAATCAAGAATAAATGTCAGGGCTGGAGAGAGAGCACATGTTTGATGTTTGATCCCTGGCACCACATACGGTTCTCCGAGTCCCAGCAGGAGTCATCCCTGACCTCAGAACCAGGAGGAAGCACTGAACGTAACTGGATGCGGCCCCAAACCAAAAACAATGGGAAAAAATATAAAAAACCAAACCAAACAAAAAACCCAGTGTCAAGCATAGCATAAGATACTCAGTTAATTTCGTAGCAAACATTTGTGCCCTTTGGTATCACTAGATATGTGAGCTTTCGTTTAAAGGAAAACCCCAAGTGAACTTCAATGGAAGAGAGGGGTAGGCTGGTTCCATCAGCACGTTCAGGTGACAAATCACTAGATCCTGTTCCCCAGGAGTGCAAATCTCACAGCTTCGGAGGCACGTCGGGCCCCTACAGCGGAGCGAGACTTTCCTTGGATAGGTAGGAAACCAGACTCCTTGGCGAACCTCACACATCCGGTTTCCCTCCTCACGCATCCGGTTTCCTCCTCACACATCCGGTTTCCTCCTCACACATCTGGTTTCCTCATCAAACAACTGGTTTCCTCCTCACATACCAGGTTTCCTCTTCACACATCTGGGTTTCCTTCCTCACACATCCTGTTTCCTCCTCACACATCTAAGTTTCCTTCTCACACATCCGGGTTTCCTCCTCACACATCTGGGTTTCCTCCTTACACATCCAGGTTTCCCCCTCACACATCTGGGTTTCCTCCTCACGCATCCTGTTTCCCTCCTTGTACATCTGGGAGACGGGAGACAAGGCCACACCAGACATGGTTGCTTGTGACTCGTGACTGTTCTTCATTATCTGTTTGTTTCTCTTCCTGGGCTCCTCCATGGTGCCTTCTGGAAGCTTGAGCCACCCCCAGGGCTGAGTGTCACCGAAAGGCCTGTTGTCCCTGCCAGGTGGATCCTTTGAGCTTGCACCTGCAACCCGCCGTGTTCTCGTCCCCTCTGTAGAGGCGGGGCCAGGACAGGTGATGGGGGCTCTGTCTGCTTGGCCCTTTGGGTCACCCTATGTGCAGGACCCCGACCTGGGGCGGGCAGGAAGCAAGATGCTCAGAGACCGGGGCCAAGGGTGCGCCCCTCTGAGCCACGTCCTGGAGGATGGAGGGTCCTGCTGGTGCATCACAGGAAGTGCTTTGGGCCCCGTCCCACTGGCCACACTCTGGGGGATGTGAAGCTGAAACTTCCTCCTCCCTCCCTCCCTCCCTCCTTCCCTCCCTCCCTCCCTCCCTCCCTCCCTCCCTCCCTCCCTCCCTCCCTCCCTCCATTCATCTTTCTCTCTCTGCTCTCTCCCTCTCTGTCTCTCTGTCTCTGTCTCTCTCTTCCTCTCCTCTCCCTCCCCCATCTCCCACCTCTTTCCCTCTCTTGCCCCCCCCTCTCCCACACACACACACTAACTGTTTTCTTGGTGGCCATGGGGTGACCATTCTGTGTCTCGAGTGGGCTGAGGGGCCACGTGAACAGAGGTCACCCCCAGAGACGTCCCCGTCAATGACACGAGCCCATGTGGCACTCTGGTCTCAGCACTTGGGTGGCAGCCTTGCCCCTGGCTGGCTCCAGTTATGTCCTGGCTCAGCACCTGTCAGGCTTCACTGCTGGGAGCAATGGCCCAGGGTTTCCGGGTGTCGCCCGGGACACTCCCGAGAGCTGATGGCTGGTGTGAAGTCAGCACTAGCTGCAGTGAAATGAGGCGCAGGGGTCACTCCACAGGTGCGTTTGGCTCCGTTCCCCGACTCCCCCTTGCAGGGACGGCCTCACACTTCTACCCAGCAGCGCCACTCACCCCTCCTGCACGCCTTCCCTGGTGATCTCTCAGCCGTTGCCTTCCTGCTCAGAGCCGTTTCTGGAACGTGGCTGAGTCTGTGGGTCGGAAGGGCAGCCTTCTGCTCCTGAATATGCAGGCGTGTGTACACAGGTGTGATTACACACATGCTCTCTCTCTCTCTCTCTCTCTCTCTCACACACACACACACACACACACACACACACACACACACTGCATTCACAAGCTGCCTTTTCCTTTCTCTGTGTTTCCTGGGCTGAGCAGCTAACAGGCAGGAACCTGACTTGAACCTTGTACACGGACTTCAATCAGCATCGCGGGAGCCTGGGGACCTTAGCTGGCGGCTGTGCCGTGGGAGTCCCACGGGTGCTGTGGCCACCCTCCCTGTGACCCCTCTGTCACCCCCCCCCCCCGCCCCCGGCCTGCTCTCACTCCCCTCCACAGCTCCCTCAGCTCTGGGCTGTGTCCCGCAGCTGCCCGTGCCTGTGTGGGCGCCACGGGACAGAGAGGCGAGCCGTGTGGCCATGTGACCCGGCCGCCGTTTCCCTTGGGATAAATGTCTCAGCGTGGGGTGCATGTGCGCGTGGGGGGGTCACCATCCCGCCGCGTTCTTTCTGTTTCCAGCGGTAAATCTGCGTATCCCTCGCACCTCTGCGTAGACTGCGTGTCTCTTGGGGTTTCCGAGTGGGGCTGGCCGGATGCCGCGCTCTTTCTGGATCCACGAGTGGTTCCGGAAGGTGCTGAGTAGAGTGAGCATCAAGTAGGCGGGTGGGGCTCACGCTTCCCCTGCAGGTCCACACCTCCCCTTCCGCCCCACCCTGCGCACAGCCTGGCCTCACCCCTGGGGCGGGGAGGCCCATTCTCCCTCCATCCTCCGTGGACCAGTCCACGCGGGGCGCCAGCTCCTCGCGCCTCTGCCACCCTCACCCAGGCCCGGGGCTGTCGGTACTCGCCAGCTTGTGCCGCTGGTCAGCCTCGGGGGTGCGGTGGCGGCCAGCAGCCACCCACCCCACCCACCTGCCCCTCAGCATGGCCCGTCAGCGTCCTCCAGGCCCAGCTCTGGGCCACTTTGGAGATCAGGATGCGAGGGGCCTTGCTCCGACAGACCCCCATTGGGAGGAGGTCCTGGCAGAGGGGTGCGAGCCCCCCGCAGCCCCCCCCGCAGCCCGTGGGCTTCGCAGAGGCCACCCCGCGGCCGCCCCAAACTTGGCAGCCCAAAGCCCCGCTCCTCCGTGCGTTGCCGTGATTTATACTCTCCGCAGGCGCCTAATATTAAACAGGGGGATTCCAGCATGTTCCGTAACACATTTGCCGTAACTCGAGCCCGCGAGCCCCGCTGGCCGTCACTCATCGTCTCTCCCGACTTTCTCTCCGCAGCACAAGGCCAAGGTGGACGCCATGACCCTGGACCTCGCCCAGCTCTGCAGCGTGCAGCGCTTCGCGGAGGAGTTCAAGGCCAAGCATGTGTGAGTGTGTGGGGGGGGGGGGGGCTCCTGGGCTGGGGGAGGGGGGCAGAGCGCCCAGCCCGTCTCCTGCCGTGCGCGCGAGTCAGACAGCCCACACAGGCCCCGCAGCGCACCTGGGCTCCGTCACCGCACCTGGGCTCTGTCCCGACAACTGGCCCAGAAGCTCCTGGTCAGAATGCGGGAGGCTGAGCCCGAGGGAGAAATTCCACCTGGAATGGCGGATGTGGCATGGCTCCAGGGGTTCTGGAAGCACCGTGCCTTTGTCCTCCTCCTCCTCCTCTTCCTCCTCCTCCTCCTCCTCCTCCTCTTCCTCCTCCTCCTCCTCCTCCTCTTCCTCCTCCTCCTGTTCCTCCTCTTCCTCTTCCTCCTCTTCCTCCTCCTCTTTCTCTTCCTCCCTTCTTCCTCCTCTTCCTCTTCTTCCCTTCCTCCTCCTCCTCCTCTTCCTTCTCCTCTTCCTCCTCTTCCTCCTCCTCCTCCCTTCTTCCTCCTTTTCCTCCACTTCCTCCTCCTCCTCTTCCTCCTCCTCTTCTTCCTCCTCGTCCTCTTCTTCCTCCTCCTCGTCCCTTCTTCCTCCTTTTCCTCCTCTTCCTCCTCCTCCTCCCATTCTTCCTCCTCCTCCTCTTCCTCCTCTTCCTTTTTCTCCTTCTCCTCCTCCTCTTCTTCCTCCTCCCCTTCTCTTCCTCCTCCCCCTTCTCTTCCTCCCCCTACTCCTCCCCTTCTTCTTCCTCTTCTTCCTTTCCTCCTCCTCCTCCCCTTCCTCCTCCCCCTCTTCCTCTTCCTTTTCCTCTTCTTCCTCCTCTTCCTCCTCCTACTCCCTTCCTCTTCTTCTCCCACCTCTTCCTCCTCCATCTCCCCTTCCTCCTCCTCTTCCTCCTTCTCCTTCCCCCTCCCCTCCCCCTCCTCCCCTCCTGCTCCTCACCTGGAGGCTCACCCCTGGCTGGTGCCGGGAGGGCGGCCACATGTGACCTGTCCATCCCGCACGCAGCCCCACTTCGGCTCGGGGAGTGCGGCCGTCCGGTCCCGGGTGGGTTGCAGAGGGGCCATGCTCATTTCCAGGCCGAGCTCTGGTTACCTCGTGTTTATTTTCACGCTTTGCCTCCTGGGGAGGGCCGGTGGCTGGTTTCTCATTTAACACGGAGGTTTCGTGTTGGTGGAACAATGGCTCGACTTTCCCCTCCCCTGCACCCCGGCTCTGCAGCGAGGGTGGCGTGAGCCGGGCAGGAGCGCCGGCCGAGGACAGATGGGCCTGGGGACACTGAGGAGAGAATGCAAGAGAGTCGTGCACTGGCACAGATCTGCTCCTGGTGTGGGGCTCACGGCCTGCGGGTGAGGGGTGCCCGGGGGTGTGTGAAACCCAGTGGCCAGAGGAGCCGCTGCCTGGTTGGCGGGCCCTGAGGTGTCCAGCCCAGGCTGGACCTGGCCCCCGGCCGCCGTTTGTGCTGCGGGCCCTTGGGGTTGTGGACCTCTTGGCCCTTTAGCGGGACCAGGAGCCTGATGTGGTGCCCGTGGGGTCTGCGGGGGTGGGGGGGGCAGTGCAGGCAGCAGCCCCTGCCTGAGCTCCCAGAGACGCCGGTCGGGGCCCAGCCTCAGCTTTGAAGGTGACTCTCGCCTCTGCCCTCAGCGTTTCTTCAATGGTTTGTTCACTTGAGACTCTTTGCCGGGGCGTCGGCTGCAGCAATTCCAACACACAGCTGGCGGTCCCCGGAGACCAGCTCAGCCCAGCCCAGCCAGGCTGCAACTTGCTGCCGTAGACCCGGTGCCCTGGTGTCTGCTGGGGTTGTGGCTCGCCGTGGGTCACTGCGGTATCCGCAGTGTCCTGGGAACACTCGGCAGCGGGACAGGTGGGGCTAGCAGCCGCTTCTGACCCAGCCCTGAGCCGAGTGGAGGAGAGCGAGTGCGTAACCTACAGCGCCCAGTCTTTTTTTTTTTTTCATTTTTTATAATTTTTTTAAATTGAATCACCGTGAGGGGAGTTACAAAGCTTTCGGGTCTAAGTCTCGGTCATACAATGAAACACCCGTACCTTCACCAGTGCCCATTCTCCACCACCAAAAACCCCAGTATACCCCCATCCCACACCCTTTCCCTACCTGTGGGGCAGATGATTTCCACATTAGTCTCTCTCTACTTTGAATACATTCAATATTTCGACACCAGACCCACCATTATTATTTGGGATTTTACCCCAACACTTGGATCTGCCAAAAAGGCAACAGTAGACAATTTGTTTTCTATTGCTGGTTATGAATAACATATGATGTCACACGGCTGCAGTAGTAGCCACGCGATTTTGAAATTCCGAAATTTTAGCAATTAAGTCTGGAGGGATTTCTGCCAAAACCTGCTGGGTTCCGAGATTTGTTCCTGAGTCTCTGGGATCATAGCCCTTAACCAGCTTGATCAGGAGCCAGAGAGGCCGTTGGCGGGCAGCTACTCAGGGTCTCTTTGGGGCAGGGAGAAAAGGGTCAGCTCCACCCCCATCCCGTGAGGCCCCAGGTGTCTTGTCACTGTGGGCCCAAACCTGACTGTCCAATGGCCTCTGGAGGATGGCAGCCACAGAGCCACCAAGAGGGAGCAGGCGGAGGGACAGTACCCTTTCCCCCCTGGGATGGCCCGGCGGCAGTAACCTACTGCAGGGTTTCCGACGCATTTCTGCCAGAAGCCGATGGGTTTTGAGATTCGTTTCTGAGTCTCTGGGATCATGGCTTTTAAGCAGCTTGATCAGGAGGCAGAGAGGCCGTTCATGGGCAGCGACTCGGGGTCTTTTTGGAACGGGGAGGAAAGGGCCGGCTCCCCCCGCATCCTGTAGGGCCCAGCGTGTCTCGTCACTGTGGGCCCGAATCTGACTGTCCAGTGGCCTCTGGAGGATGGCGGCACCAGGCAACCAGGGGGAACAGGCCAAGGCACAAAACCTACTCCCATCTGGGGTGGCCCAGCGCCAGTAACCTTCTGCAGGGACCAGACACATTTCTGCCAAAAGCCACTGGGTTTCGAGATTTGTTTCTGAGTCTCTGGGATCATGACAGTTAAGCAACTTGATCAGGAGCCAAAGAGGCTTTTTGTGGGCAGTGCAGTGCCCATTCTTAACACGACTGTTGGTGGTTAACCTTGAAGCCGTTGATATGTCATCAACCCCCAGTGCCCTGAGTGATCGCCAAGGTCTAACTGCTCACAATCCCACCCAGACCCCCAAGCCTCGTCTGGAGAAAGCTGCTTGTCCCTCCCGCCCCGTCCTAGACGCTAGCAGCTTTGAATTCCCCTTTCCCCTCCACGCCCCCCTTTCTCTGCCTCCCGAGAGTCCCCCGTCCTGACAGCCCTGGGCAGTTCCATGGGGGGCGGGGAGGTCCCTGCAGTCTCTCCCTGATGGACGATGATGGCCCTCCATGGGGGCCTGGCAGGGGTGCGGTGGGGGCCATCGCCGCCCGTCTTTCCCGTTGGTGTTTCTTCATGTGAGAAACATGTGACAGGCGCCCGGCCAGCTGTCAGCGTGGAGTCTCCCTCTCGGAGAGAGGGCTGCAGCGGGGAGCGGCCCTCCCAGTCCACGCCGGGCGGGCAGGTGTCCCACACCCTGAGCCTTTGTGGAGCCCGCGAGCACACCCCAAGATTGAGCAGATGGCCCGCCCCGCACCCTGGCTTGTGTGCGTGTGGTGTGTATGTGTTGTGCGTAGTGTATGTGTGGTGTGGTGTGTGTGTGTCTGTGGTGTCCATGGTGTGCGCATGGTATATGTGTTGTGTGTGATATATATGGTGCGTGTTTTGTGCACTGTGTATGGCAGGTGTATTGTGTGCGGTGTGTACCGTGTGCTATGAACACATGGTGTGTATTTACAATGTGCGTGGGTATGTTATGTGTGCGTGTGTGTGGTGTGTGTGGTGTGTCTCTTATGTGTGTATAGTATGGGTTATGTGGGTGGTGTCTGTGCTGTGGATGACGTGTGTCTTGTGTGTGGATGGCATGTGTAATGAGTTGTGTGTGGTATGTGTGTTGTGTGTATGGTATGTGCAGTGAATGCATGGTACGTGTGTGATGTGGGTGCTGTGGGTGGTATGTGTGATGTGTGTTGTGTGGTATGTATATGTGATATGTGTGTGTTGTGTGATTGGTATGTGCATCGTGAGTGTACTGTGTGCAGTCCGTGTGTGCTGTGGGTAGTATTGTGATGTGCACTGTATGTTTATTGTGTGTGTGATGTGTGTGTGGTGTGTGTATTGTGTGTGCTACGGGGGAAGTTTTGTGATGTGTATAGTATGCACATCTTGTGTCCCGTGTGGTATGCGCGTTGTGTGTTGCTGTGGGTGGTATTGTGATGTGTATTGTGTGTGTGCTGTGTGAGGTGCTTGTGTCTGTGGATTGTGTGTGCTATGGTGTGTGTGTGCGTTTCCATCCCCGGGGGGAGGCCGCTTGTTGAGTGAAGAAGCTGGTGTAGCCGCTGCAGGGCCACCGGGAACAGGCGGGGGGGGGCCTCTTCGGGCGGGTCACCTCCCCGAGAAAGACGTGGGACCCGGGTGGTCCATGAGCGTGTACTGATCACACACACACATGCAGGCACACACATGCACACGCACGCACACACACGCACACACAAATACACACATGCACACATTCACACACACATACACGCATGCACACACATACACACACACACCCCAGGTTTCTCTGTTGTGGCTGGTGGCATCAGTTCCCCAGCACAGCAACTGGGAGATCCAGAATTTGAACCCGTCTGAGTCCAAAAGTCCCGAAGGGTGAGGCTCAGGCCTCAGCCTCATTTCTTAGCATCTGTTCGGTGCGCTTTTCCGATGCCTCCAGAATTTCGAGCCAGGGAACATGGCCTCTGTCCCTCTTTCTCGCTGTTTACCTTAGGATTTGAATAAAAGCCGTGCATTGTACTTTAAATTTGAGGTTGACTTCATCAAATTGTTGGTGGTTTTGGTGTTCTCAGGAGCTCCTGGGATTTTTGATCGCTGTTATCATGGGTCTATAGAACCACTGGGGGCTGACG